GCACATCAACATAGGGTTGAGAATTTCAAGATCTTTTATTTTCTCATATCTAATTTTTTTAAATAAAAAAAAATCGCCATACTTGAAAACCGAAAAGATTCAAATTATCTTAATACGAGCGGAAAATTGCAACTCGGAAAAAAATTTTAAACTTAAAATAACTGCCATATCTTGAAAACCATAAGAAATTGAGCATTCAAACGTTGAGGCCAGATTTACAACCACTGAATGTTCTAGGACAGCATCCCACTATACGATTGAGAAATTCAAAGTCGGTTAGTTTGTTTTTAAATTGTATTTTTTTGAAAAAGAAAAAAAAGTCATTAACAACGCCATATCTCGAAAATCAAAAATTCGATCAGTCTTAACCATAGAGGATTTTTGCAATTCCTTAGTGTATTCTGACAGTAGCCCGCAAAAATCCCTCCACCAGGGTTGAGCAAGTTCTGTTAGTTTTTGAAAACATTTTGGAAAAATCATAAAAAAACGCCTATCTCAGAAACCAAGAGGATTTGAGCTGTACTATTTGGAGGCAAGATTTGCATCCTCTGACAGGAAACCTAACTGTAAACTGACAGCACCCAACCATATAGTTGAGACTTAAGTTCTGATAGTTGTTTTATATTTCAGTTTTTTGAAAAAAAAATCATAAAAATCGCCATATCTCGAAAACCGAAAAAAAAAATTGGGCAGTTAGAAGATCTGGTAAGACACTTCGCTCGCTTCTATAAATAGTAGAGCTATTTAAAATGCAGACATACTCGAAATATGTCTGTTGTTGAATAAATCACAGCGTTCACCAAATGATTCAAGCGACTTTGTTATATAATTTGTGAGCTTAAAAAACCGTTTGATGTTCCGATTAGATAAAACTTGCTTAACGCAAGCTTACACACTTGCTTTCGGAGCGCAAACAGTATACTTCTTCAGTAGTGTGCAATTCATGCTAACCTGTAAAAAATAGGTGCACGGCTAATCTGTCAGTGATATAATATTCGACTATTCCCAATTAACATCTGAAAAACGGTCAATTTGAAAGGGCGCAGCAAGCTGATTAAATAGAAACGGAATAGAAATAAAATTACTTTTGAAAAAATAGGGGTAAAACTTAGGGTTAATTCATCATATAGAAAATCATTTACAACATGGAGCCCGAGATGCAGGGACGTAGAAAAAAATTCAGGAAGACTAGCAGACCACACATTGTATCAAATCACGGATCAAATGCAAGGGATCGCAAAGGAAACAATTTTCTATCTACACAAAAATAGGTCTGCATGAGCTCATCCAGTCGCCAATAGTTCGAACAGAAAATTACTTCGAATGGAAAATTTTTTATGCTTCATTGTCGAGCAGTTGCATATATTGTCCACAAACAGTGCAATTTGACAAAAAATAGCGCCCAGCCAAGTCTTGAATTCTATCATCTACTATATTATTTTTTCTATCAATACAGAAAAGCGCGTCTGAAAGTTCTCGCTTTTTGTTCCGCAAGGGCCATTTTAGCATTCTAAAATATTGTGGTGAGACCTTAGGAAGAGATAACACTTCAATTTTGCACAAACAATTATGCATCAAAACAGAAGAGTGTGAACAAGACAAGTTCGAACTTTCATATAAGTTACTTGATTTGAGAATGCGTTAAAATTGTAAATTCAAACAAACGTTTTCGCGCATTTTTGTGCATCTTCAGGTTATAAAAATTCTAAACTATCTCTACAAAATGATCAAAGATCATAAAAAGTGTCATACACATCATAATTTCAAAATTTAAAAAATTCAACTAATCAAAACTTTACAAATACTACTGAAATTATGTAACAACTATTATGTAACAATTTTAAGCATTTTGTCACAAATTTCTGAGAGCTTTCGCCTTCTTTTGTTTACAATTTCGTTTTGTTGCTAACTTTCATGCTAACATGTAAGTTATTTCAAAATTTTTTCTTGTTTTAGCCGGAACTTTTCGATTCTGGAACTATAGCCTTAGTGTCAGCTCCCTACTTCTAAACTTGTCGCGCGTGTTTATTGCCAGTCTCTTTTTCCTAATGTGCAGCGCTTCTAATGTGAGTAACTTGATGCTGCTGGACGCCTGGTCGATTATTTTCCATTTAAACTCCGACTTACCACTCTCACTACCCTTACTGCCTTATATGCTGTTCAACTGGGGTATCCTCTTTTCGGTGTTCCTCAAGCCTTGTGGTGAGATTTCGGACCGTCTGACCAACATAGATGGATTTGCACTCACAGCATTCAAGACTGTACACCACTTTTGATTTCAGTTCACTGGAGAAGGAGGATTTTAGAGAGCGCATACAAGTTTTCATTTTCCTCGTCGTGAAAATTATCTGCGCATTGGTGATATCGCGCACTTTTTTTGCTAATGTCTGACTGTGGTTACCCCTATATTGGACCAACAAGATGGGTGAAGAATCACTGCTATAATCATTGTGCTTCTTTTTCTCAGCCATGTTCTTTTTGTTTTTGCCCTCCCTGATGCTCTTTTCAAGGGCATGGGATGCAACCCGCGACGACCGACTTTCCGGATATTGGTTATCCAACCACTGCTCACTGTTGATTTTCATAGCTTTATCATATTCTTTCCATGTGAACAGTTCCTTCAATCACACTTCTCTTGTACATAAGGGGGGCGCAGCTTCTAAAATTTAGTATGTTACCTGTATCTGTTGGTTTTTGATACCACCCACATTCAATTTTCCTGCTTTCGTCAATACTAATTTTTAAATCCAAAAATGCCAAATTTCCGTTTGCGTTTGGGGTCTCAATTGTGAACTGTAAATTTGGATGCAGTAAGTTAGTAGCCCGTAGCACTTTTTCAGGATCACCCTTCACTGTTCTCATTAGATCGTCAACGTAACGGAGAAATAACTTAGCTTGCTGCACTGACTTATTTTTCTCTCTAATTGCGATGCATTTTCTACAGTACCAGACAGTTTCACATACATTTCTATACTCATCATCTGATATATCGCCGCATTTTACGTGATACCAGTTGAAACAGCTTTCACATTCAACACATTTTGACCTGTACGTGACTTTCTTATTGCACTCGGGACATATTCCGCTAGGATCTTTCTCGGACAAAAACAATTCGGTAGTGCAGTTTCGTACTGCTTCAGCCCAAGATTTGCTGATAAGTTACTTATATAAAATTTAGCTAAACCAAAAAATTATGTGAATGGATAGATCAATCTACAACTAGACATACCTCGACCTGATCTAATAATACGTCAGGATGTACCACTTCTTTTTTCCCATCACACTGGTCTAACCAATTTTAAATCCTAATTGAAAGTATTCATAAATCACCCCAAAGAGCTTCCTTTCTCGCCCCAATTGTCTGTGTTTCAGATAGATGCCGCAATTCCAGGCATGACGCATCCCTGAGTTCTCACATAAACTAGTTATCGTGACTTCAAGGACCAAATATATCAAACCAGCTCTAGTAAAATGAAGAATTCACTCCTACCGCGGCGCAACGATTCATGATCTGTTTGAAACAGTTTTGCAATACAGACCAAAGCGTCTAAACACAGTAAAATTAGTTGGTGAATACAATGACAACAGGCTGCATCCACAAGAAATATAAGTAGTGGAAAAACTTGATTAACCTCGTCACTAACAAGTTTCAGCTCAAAACACTGATCATCCCCAAAACAAGTCAGAACTGTAATAACACTAAAATAAATCGCAAAATTTATATTCAAAATCATGTATTATTTAATTTGATAAATAGATTTGTACACCCACATACACTCATTGATTCACCTAACCTCAATGTAAATCAAACCCCTCAGATGTTCTGCCGTGATGGCATCCATTTCGCGTTCTACGGTAATGATTTCTTTACTAATTTTCTTGCAAATAAAATCTATAAATTCTCTCGCTAACTTGACACCACCGTCCTTCCTGAAATGGCTACGCAAAATTATTGCCTTATTTGTAGAAACAGCTTGCGAGGCGGAGGTGTTTGGTGCTTCACATGCCCAGGCTACATGCATGTAAAATGCAGCGGCCTAGCCCGCAGCAGATATCATTATGTCGATTTCAGCTGTCATTGCTGCACCTCTCAATTTCATTCAGCTAACGACACCCGTTAGTGCAATCTCCCAACCCTAGCTACAATCACACTTCCTCACCCTTCCATTTCACCCTCACCCTTCTACTACCCCACTTTCACAAAACTCAAGAGAACCCTCCACTCTAGAAACTATAAAAACACAAGACCCATGGTCGAACCCCTGTCCAGAACATAGAAACCACAAGGAAAGTATACTCCGAACTGGTCCACTGGAAACCGGTCTTTATTGGCAAAAAAATTAAATTGGTTATAATTTCAATGAAAGCCTCAATAGAACTCTGAACAGCCTGATAGAAAAGAATGAAAATACCATCGCAATACACGCAGCAATGATCTTTCCACTATTACTACTGTGCGAAACAAAGTCCGAAAATGATAGATCTTTATCCAAAACAATAGCAAGGCGACTTAAGCAATGGAAAGACGGAGACCTGGATGAACTATATAACGAAGGAAAGGCGCTGCAAATGCGCTTGTTGAAAGGAAATAGAATAAAAGCTGAAACTGAAGCACAACAGTTCAATAAACTAATGAATACTGGAAAAATATCAAGCGCAATTGCAAAACTAACAGACACGTCGAAAGGCGTTCTTTCGCTCGACGAGATCGTCAAAGGTAAGACAGTAGAACATATTCTCATAGAGAAGCACCCAGCATCTAAACCAATTGCTTATATAAATAGTAGAGCTATATAAAATAAAGACATACTCGAAATATGTCTGTTGTTGAATAAATCACAGCGTTCACCAAATGATTCAAGCGACTTTGCTATATAAATTGTGAGCTTAAAAAACCGTTCGATATTCCGATTAGATAATACTTGCTTATCGCAAGCCTACACACTTGCTTTCGGAGCGCAAACAGTATACTTCTTCAGCAGTGTGCATTTCATGCTAACCTGTAAGAAATAGATGCACGGCTAATCTGTCAGTGAGATAATATTCGACTATTCCCAATTAACATCTGAAAAACGGTCAATTTGAAAGCGCGCAGCAAGCTGATAAAATAGAAACGAAATAGAAATAAAATTATTTTTGAAAAAATAGGGGTAAAACTTTGAATTCATTATATAGAAAAACATTTACAACATGGAGCCCAAGATGCAGGGACGTAGAAAATAATTCAGGAAGACTAGCAGACCACACATTGTATCAAATCACGGATCAAATGCAAGGGATTTTAAAGGAAACAATTTTTTATCTACACGAAAATAGGTCTGCATGAGCTCATCCAGTCGCCAATTGTTTGAACAGATAATTATTTCGAATGGGAAATTTTTTATGCTTCATTGTCGAGCAGTTGCATATATTGTCCACAAACAGTGCAATTTGACAAAAAAAAAGAGCGCCCAGCCAAGTCTTGAATTCTATCATCTACTATATTATTTTTTTCTATCAATATACAGAAAAAAAACGTTATTTAAACATTCTGCTACCCTCGGTTGGTGTCGTTAACTATGGGCATCCACATTCTTATTCTTTTCTATTTATCTCATGAACTTCCGTTATCGAAACGGATTGAGGTCATTATTAGTGTTCTGATAAGATTCCATGGGAGGAGCTGAATGATTTGCAAACCCGGAAGGAAATTCCGGAATCGACGGGGGCTGTTGGTATTGCATCGTCCCTGGTTGAGAAACTTGTGAGAAAGGAGTGAACACAGGTTGCGGTTGTTGTCCAAGCAAGTCAAAGGGACCTGAACTATTTGAAGCGCTATTTGAAAATGTCCCTTGCTTAGTTCGCAGCTCGTTTATAGAAGGTTGGGGCGCTTTTGGTGGTTGGAAAGGATTTCCTCGAGCTGGAATAGATCCAGAAAAAGGATTGGCAGAAGGGAAAATTTGACCATTGATTGCTGATCTGGTAGGTGTTATTAGGTTATCAAAGTTGACCAGTTTTGCATGGTCGCCTAAAAACGTTTCGGCAGCTTGCTCCGAAGGTGACTTCGGTCGTTCAAATTGACACAGGCCGTCTGATTGAGATATGTTTGCATCATGAGAACTGTTACTGTTTGAAGATGGTAATAAAGGAGCCGGCATTTCACTTCCTGAACCAGTGAAAAAATTTGGATACGGTGACATACTTGGTTGAAGACCAACTACACCAAAGGAGTCAACTGCCGGTCCACCAAATGGATCATTAGTTGCATCAGAGCCTTTATGCCCCCAAGGATCAAATGACGACGATTGACTTACCATAGCTTGACTGGACATAGACCTTGCTTTTTGTGCCTGCTCTTTCAGTGTAGGTTGCGCTATACCTGAAGCCATGTTTAGAGACAGAAAATCAGCATTACCTGTTGAGATTTTGCGCTTTTCTTCTTTCTTGCTTTCTTCTAGGGCCAATTGTAAACGAATATCCGCATTTTTTCGTTGGCTTTCTTCCTTTTCTGCGTCTTCCTTGCTCAAAGCGAGAGCCAGTTGTAATTGAAGCTCTTCTTCAGTTGCATCGCTCGGTAGTGCATTTTTCATCTCAGTTGCAATAAATGCAGAATCGGCGCCACCACTGGATGAACCAGTATTTGATCGATGAGCCCGATGTTCTGGGACAGAATCTGGCGGAAAAGTTGGCCTCCAAGCAGTCCCAGAGGCCACATTACGCTGCCCATTTGAACTAATACTCCAAACAGTCGTAGCTCCCATCTTTTCGCGGAGCGCAGACGCTTTTAGTCTCTCAGATCTGAGTCTTTCATCGTCTTTCAAGAGAAGAACCAAATTTTTAGCTTTTTCTCGAACAACATGACCCATATCTTTTCCGTCCTTATCGATGTGCTGAAACGTAGACAAAGTTTCTATCGCATAAATGTTCTTCTTACACTGTTCGGCGCATTTTTCCGATCCACTTTTCACCAGGCATTCAAGAACAGCTAAGCTTTTCATAACATGTCTCCAATTTTTGCCGTCATCATTGATGCGTTTCCAGAGTACATTCATGATTTCCCCAAACGCAACAACATTGTGCGATGCATCTGCGATCTCGTTGAGTAGATTTGTTTCTGGTCCCCATGGATCATTTGAGGTAGCCTCACGAACTTTAGTTTCTATAGGTGTGTAGTTTTTGGCTTTGTTAACAACGGCGCGTCTGAAAGTTCTCGCTTTTTGTTCCGCAAGGGCCATTTTAGCATTCTAAAATATTGTGGTGAGACCTTAGGAAGAGATAACACTTCAATTTTGCACAAACAATTATGCATCAAAACAGAAGAGTGTGAACAAGACAAGTTCGAACTTTCATATAAGTTACTTAATTTGAGAATGCGTTAAAATTGTAAATTCAAACAAACGTTTTCGCGCATTTTTGTGCATCTTCAGGTTATAAAAATTCTAAACTATCTCTACAAAATGATCAAAGATCATAAAAAGTGTCATACACATCATTATTTCAAAATTTAAAAAGTTCAACCAATCAAAACTTTACAAATACTACTGAAATTATGTAACAACTATTGTAACAATTTTAAACATTTTGTCACAAATTTCTGAGAGTTTTCGCCTTCTTTTGTTTTCACAATTTCGTTTTGTTGCTAATTTTCATGCTAACATTTAAGTTATTTCAAAACTTTTTCTTATTGTAGCCGGAAATTTTCGATTCTGGAACTATAGCCTTAGTGTCAGCTCCCTACTTCTAAACTAGTCGCGCGTGTTAATTGCCAGTCTCTCTTTCCTAATGTGCAGCGCTTCTAATGTGAGTAACTTGATGCTGCTGGACGCCTGGTCGATTATTTTCCATTTAAACTCCGACTTACCACTCGCACTACCCTTACTGCCTTATATGCTGTTCAACTGGGGTATCCTCTTTTCGGTGTTCCTCAATCCTTGTGCTGAGATTTCGAACCGTCTGACCAACATAGATGAATTTGCACTCACAGCATTCAAGACTGTACACCACTTTTGATTTCAGTTCAAGGAGGATTTTAGAGAGCGCATACAAGTTTTCATTTTCCTCGTCGTGAAAATTATCTGCGCATGGGTGATATCGCGCACTTTTTGTGCTAATGTCTGACTGTGATTCCCCCTATATTGGACCAACAAGATGGGTGGTGATATCCCCCTACATTAGCTTAATTGGTGTGATAAACTTATTAAATATTTTCCGGTATTATGGATGCGGAAGCTGTCTGAAACCACACGAGGAGCAGAATGGCCAGTCAAGTCAGCAGCCGGACTCGCCTGGGGTCCGCCAGGAATCGACAAGCTGCTGTGGCACCACATACAACAAGCAGTACTGATGATGGATGACAAGAAAATATCGGGGAAAAGTGTCATCAGCCCGACTGCACTGGAAGCGGTGTATCCTGGATCGGGTGTGATATCGAGACGGGGTGCGGCCGTTGGTACTATTTCTCGTGCGTTGACTTGCCTCGAGCAGATGAACTGGAGAGATATCACTGCTCCACGTGTAAGATGAAAACAATCGATTTCAGTGAAGATTCACCTTCAAGTGGAAACCTACAGCCATGGGGTAAACTCTCTGCCTCTGACTTCATTAGTAAAATTAATTTATCTTATGATAAATGTGTGCATTGGAAGAAAAATCTCTTCGACATCCCACATGGCAATGCTGCGAAAGATCTCAAACGTGAACTCTCAAGCATATTGAACCTTTTTATTCAAAAAACGTGCTATGAATTTATATCGTTAAAATCTTTTCATGTACTTCTGTGTCTAGCCCTGCAGAAACCATCCAAAACCTCCAAAGCGAAAGATCATGTATTGTACTTGGAGAAACGTGTTCGGTGGTGGAGAGAGGGTGAGATGGACATGTTGTTTAATGAAGGTGCCGCTATCCAGGGGGAGATGAAAGTTTCAAACGCAATAAACATAACAAAGGCCTTGGCAAATTTAGTTCTTCAAGGTAAATTGTCTGCTGCTTTGAAACTGCTGAGTGAGTCCGACTCTGGTGCACCTCTGCTTTTTAACGAAAAAAATCGGCAGAAGATCGCTAAGTTACAACCAGACGCGGCAGAACCATCGCCCGGGGAGCTACTGAATGGTGATATTCCCGCTGTTGATCCAGTGGTGTACGCAACAATCGTTGGAGACTCAATATATCGCTCTGCGCTGGCTACGAGAGGCTCTGCAGGTCCTTCTGGGGTTTCAGCTGAGCATATGCGCACCCTTCTTTGCTCAAAGAAGCAGCGTGCAGTGTCTGAGTCTGAGGAACTGTGCGCAGACGTCTCGCTGGTCGCTAGACGTATTTGTACCGAGAACGTAGATCCTCGCGCACTTGAGTCATTTGTATCTTGTCGCGAAATAGCCCTACCCAAAGATTCAACAGGTGGAATAAGACCCATTGGCATCGGTGAGGTACTTCGCAGAATCATTGGCAAGTCAATAACACGACAATTTAGCAAAGACATCGCAACCACTGCTGGAATTCATCAGTTATGTGCGGGTCGTGATGGGAGAGTGGAGGCGACGATACACGCAGCGCAAGAACTGTTCAGAGCAGAAGAATCTGAAGCTGCCCTTCGTGTGGATGCAACCAACGCCTTCAATAGTCTCAATCGTAAAACGGCCCTCTACAATATACAGCTGCTATGCCCCAAAATATCGCGCTACATTATCAACACCTATCGAAGACCGGCGCGCCTCATACTCAATAACGGAATGGAAATCACTTCTCGTGAAGGAACGACACAAGGCGATAATCTTGCCATGGCTTTTTATGCGGTTAGTATTAAGCCTCTGATTGACCGTCTGAAAGCCCACCTCTGCCATCAAACATGGTTTGCTGAGGACGCCGCCTCGATCGGGAAGCTGCAACACGTGAAAAGCTGGTGGGAGTCATTGTTGTCACTGGGCCCTAGATATGGATACTACCCGAGACCAGACAAGTGCTGGCTGATATTAAAAGGTGAAACTTCCAAGAAAGTAGCTGAAGAATTTTCGCGAGTTCAAAGTTAACATTACCACGGAGGGCCACAGATATCTCGGGGGAACATTAGGTTCGGCGCGGTTTAAACAGCAGTACGTTGGGAAACTGATTGAGGAGTGAGTCTTACAGATCGATAAGTTAAGCGAAATGGCGACTCGCGAACCACATCTTTCTTATGCTCTGTTTGTTAAAGTCATGCAGAGCAAGTGGTCGTTCGCCATGCGCACCATTCGACGACGGTTTAACTAAACTGGAGATCCACATACGATATTTCCTAGAAACGATTATGGGCAGAACCATCACTGACTTTGAGAGCAGAGTTTTAGCGTTGCCCTGCAAAATGGGAGGTCTAGGCGTTTTCATACCCACTACGCGAGCGGAACGAGAGCACGAGAACTCGAAACAGTTGTGCACGAGATTAACGAGCGCTGTTATCGAGAAATGCGAGCTACCATCCTCGCATTGCACAGAAGAGCGCAAAGCCATCAGAAAACGGAACGAAGAACACGCGAAGTCGGAATTGAATCTAATATTGCAAGAAGCCACGCCGTCTCTAAGGAGAGCCTTGGAGGTGCTCCAGCCAAAGGGAACATCAACTTGGCTGTCTTGCATGCCGTCCAGAGAACACGGTTTCTACTTTAACCGCGACGAATTCAGAGATTGTCTGAATTTGCGATATGAGTGGCCACTTGTCAACATGGCCACGAAGTGTGAATGTGGAAAAAATAACAGCATTGACCACTCATTAATTTGTAAGCTAGGTGGCTTTGTGATTAAGCGCCATAACTGCGTCCGGGATCTCTTTGCTGATGTTCTTGATAGTGTTTGTAAAGATGTAAGCATTGAGACTCCGCTAATTTACCTGACCGATGAGGAAAAAATTACTATTGGGGGAAACATTGAAGAAGGCGCTGGTCTCGATATCGCGTGCAGGTCTTTCTGGACGCCAATGCAAAAATCAATGTACGACGTCAAAGTGACCCACATCAACTCACCATCGAACCGTGGTAAGCCAGTTAAATTAATTCTTGCCGACCACGAGAAGATGAAGAAATCTGCATACCTAGAACGGGTTCAGCAAGTGGAGCATGCCAGTTTCACCCCCCTTGTCTTTGCTACTAATGGAGCAATGGGCGAAGAGGCCGATCACTTTTGTACTGTTCTAGCGGAGAAACTTTGCTCTAAGAATGGCTGCTCTTACGGTGATAATAAGAACTATATAAGAAAGCGCCTGAGTTTTACCGTCATCAAGTCCGCTCTGATAGCCCTACGCGGTAAAAAGACAATGAGAGATTCTCCAGTAAGAATGGTGGATGCTGATGTAAATATTCTCAATTCCCGATAGTCTGTCTTTTAGTTCACTCTCTCCTAGATGCGCCTTTCTTCTGTCCTTTCCCGTGTCGTCCTTCTTGTCTCTCTGCTATAGCTCTCCGCCAACCCAGTTCCATATTCATCAGTGTCTATCGCCCGCTCTAATTCCATCTGTTCACGGTTCCCGAGTAGCACAACTCGGCCTGTCGTTGCACACCGTTTTGGATGGTTTGATGCTGTGCATTTTTACTTTATTGAAAGTGTCTGTTTCTGTTCTGTACTTTTCAGATACAAATTTTAATTAACTGTTGATCTCTCAGATGGGTGGTGAATCACTGCTATAATCACAGTGCTTCTTTTTCTCAGCCATGTTCTTTTTGTTTTTGCCCTCCCTGATGATCTTTTCAAGGGCATGGGATGCAACCCGCGAAGACCAACTTTCCGGATATTGGTTATCCAACCACTGCGCACTGTTGATTTTCATAGCTCTATCATATTCTTTCCATGTGAATAGCTCCTTCAATCACACTTCTCTTGTACTAAAGGGGGGGAGGCGCAGCTTCTAAAATTTAGTATGGTACCTGTATCTGTTGGTTTTTGATACCACCCACATTCAATTTTCCTGCTTTCGTCAATACTAACTTTTAAATCCAAAAATGCCAAATTTCCGTTTGTGTTTGTGGTCTCTATTGTGAACTGTAAATTTGGATATAGTAAGTTAGCAGCCCGTAGCACTTTTTCAGGATCATCCTTCACTGTTCTCATTATATCGTCAACGTAACGGAGAAATAACTTAGCTTGCTGCACTGACTTATTTTTCTCTCTAATTGCGATGCATTTTCTACAGTACCAGACAGTTTCAATTACATTTCTATACTCATCATCTGATATATCTCCGCATTTTACGTGATACCAGTTCAAGCAGCTTTCACATTCA